TCGTTAATTCTGGCAAAACTGTTTATTTATTACCAAAGAAAAATTGAAAGGTCCTTGAAAGTAGGTAAGTAAACTTTCTCTTAGCTAAATTATTCACTGGAATCATGATTTGTATCGTGTACAATAAAATAATTATAAAAAAAAGGATTGGGGTGACTCAATAACCCGACCGTACCGAGTGCGTGGCTGCTCCCGGGTTAAAACATGTTGAAGTCTTTTTTTCACTTTAAATATTAAAAATAATACAATTATTCTTCGTCGATATTTTATATTATTGATCATTATTTAACATCAGTGGCGCACACAAGGGGGGGGGTCCGGAACCCCCCCAAAGCCCATGATTTTTTTCCGATTGATTATAATTCTAAGTTTATAGTACGCAAAATTTAGTTAAGTATTTGTTATTAATGATTAATTTTATTAGTTAATTCTAATTATTTATTCAAGAATTAGTTTTTTACTGTGTTTTGTTCCCGAAAATCGACAAAATCAAAAGGAACCTGATACAAGATTGGTGAACTTTCGACCCCGAACCCCCCCCCCCCTTGAAAAATTCCTGTGTGCGCTACTGTATAACATCAATTATAAATGCTAATTCTGTGAGGCTTAAAATTACAATTTGCTTAAAACTAATTATAATTTGAGCAACGATTTTAAAAAAAATCATTTTACGTTTTTCTAAACATTGTCGAGCACTTGGCTTTGCGCGCGCGCTTCCCTTACAATTCAGCTATTATATCAATAATGTTTTATTTTCTTATAAATGAACTCGAGCAAAGAGCGGGCACTTCAGCCAGTATACTTTTAATGTATCAGTGCTGCACAGAATATTTTATAACTAATTAATACTAAATTAAGAACAAGTTTAATAAGTATTAACGACTTCCATGGGCTTGTCTTGCAAAGCAAAGTTTTTATAATGAATGCTTATGATTAGAAATTGACCCTCTGAGTTCTTTTTCTATATTTAGCAGATATCTATATTTTGTCTTCTAAGCAGCTACCGCATTTTGCAATATGTTCAATTTAAAAATTAGAGAAAGGAAAAATAACATAATAATATTATCCTATTATTTTATTTATTTATTTTGCTTAAAAGTAGTATACAAAATTTAATACTTATGTTACTAATTTGTATGGTTTATAATTAAGATCGCCTATTGTAACTTTAGCGTCAAAGTGCATTATTATTGCATTCAGTACATTATTAATGTACAAGGGAGGGGGGACGAAAAAAATTGTGATTGAAAAGGGGGGCGCCAGTTTTGAAAGTTTGAGAAGCACTGAGGTAAGTGTTAATTTTTATGTATAATTATATATATATATAAGCCCATGGCGTCATTGGTAATTAATGTTTTTCTTATCTTAATATTTTTAAATTAATTATAAAATACGCTGAGCAGTGCTGATACATTTTTAAGCGTTTTATATCAGTTCAAATGCGCATTTTAGTTTCTATTATGTCAGAATGTATTAGCTTACTTTCAGTAAATAAATTTTAAATGATCTTTTGTTTACGACTTTTCAACATGCTTGCGCCCTGTTGCACTGCTATCACGTCCCCTAGGGGGACATTATCCACAGTTTGAGAAACACCGGGTTAAATTGTTTATTACTTCCTAATTCTAATTGTTTATTCTTTTAAATTTGTTAATATATATTTCCTTTTTCAAATTTTTTATTATATTTTTTGCTAAATATCTTATCAGCATTTTATTTATTTATTTTGCATAAAAATTCACATAAGAAAACTCGTATTTTTAATTTAAGATAACACAATTTATTAATGCACATTGAAATTGATATTTTTCAACAAAAAGACTGAATCGTAATTTATTTTATATTACCATTAATGAAGATTTACTCAAGATAATATAGGCGTGAAAATGTATCGCTTTTTGTAGACAGAAATAAAAGATTCCCCCATTTCTTTCCCTAAAAGGACTCCCGCTCTTTATGTTTAAGAATAAAAACCAAATATTCCGAGTCAAAGATCTTTTTCGTCTTCATTTCATTCGATTTTCTTCCATTTCTTTTTCGATTTTCCCAAATAATATTTTCCGCCACGGCAAAAACTTTTTGAAAATAAAGCCCTCATCATCGTAATAGCCTGACTGGGTTTCTTAATGCTTGTCTATTGGTGTCTATCGTCATAATGACCAGTTAGGAGAACAAAGAAATAGAAAAAGCAAAAATTCCGATACGATGACAAGTCTTTTTGCGAATTTAAATTTCCAATAAATGCACATTTCTCTCTGAAGTTTCGGTCTAATGGTTCACGGAACGACCAGGAGTTAGAAAGGAAAAACCCAAGAATCGATTTCTGTTTATAATCTTTTTGTGTTAGTAGAAATAAATGATTCTAAAACCCTTAGGTAATGAGATATTATTTTCTCATAAAATCGAAAAGAGCACAAAGCAATGACTGTAATCAAACGATCTGAATGTGCTTTGCCTAGTTTTTTGTGACAGTGCTTTTTTGTTTTTTTTAATGGTAAAGTTCACGCTTGCCTGAATTTTTAATATTTTTTCATTGTCATCTTACGCATAATTTCCTCGAATGCGGTTGGGTCAGATTATTCTCTTCCAAAATTTGCTATAAATCATATCCTGGAATATAATTTTATAAAGAAATCGATCAGATGCTGGATTTTTCTCTTTTACCGTAATATTTCTCGACTTGCACGCACTGCAATTAAAAAGATACAAGTTACGTTCGGATCACAAACAGTTGAATTACGAGGGAACATACTTCTGTTTTGTTAGAAATAAATATGTATAAAAATGGTAAAAACTTTGGTTAACTATATATTCTAGGTAAAAAAAAATATAAATAAGTAATTTAATATGTTAAAGAAACCTGCAGAAATAATCATTGTTCAAAGAACGCTGGAAGTGAGAAGTTTCGAAAAAACTCTCAAAAGAAGTTGTGTGATTGTAACAACATTCCCAAACTTTCCATTGATGATGGTTAACTCTTAAACAGAGAGCCAACAAATTAACACAACTGGGTATTTAAAACTATCGAACGGGATGTACACGGATACTGCGAAAATTAAAAGAAATTTTTGCTTTTAGATACAATTTCAGGATTTCACTTTTTGAATATAATGTTTTGCAAATGAATTCAACTATGGGGTTTTAGGGAAAGTTCTGACGTTTTGAATTTGAGCCCTTTTATGCATTGTTGATCCTTAATAAGATTTCGAATCCGACTGGAACCAGTTTAAACAGTTAAATTAGTATAATATTGATGATTTTTCTAAACTTGTAAAATTGTCAACATGAGTGATGAAACAGTGCACTTTTTTGAGACATTGCATATTATTTGAGTTCCAAAAAGGGAATAACGGGGTGGAGGAAAAAAAGAAACTTGTGTCACGTGTTTGGAGAGTAATCAGTGACAGCTCAAATATGCCAAAGATGGCTTGTGAAATTTTGATTGTGTGATTTTTCTTCAAAAGATGAACCCAGATCAGGGAGGCCATTAAATGTTAGTGACGAAGTGCTACGCAGTATTATAAGATTAACTTCCACAGAAGTGGGCGTCAACCTTGGAATTTCTCAGACTACTGATTTGGATCACATTAAAAGGTTTGGTTTCATTTCCGAACTCTTTGGGTGTCACATGAATCAAGCGGAAAAAAATATACAGACAGAATTTCGATATGTTCAAATCTTTCTCGTCACAAAAGGGATCCATTTTTTTACCACTTAGTGACTGGAGATCAAAAGTGGATAGAGTACAAACACGTGGTTAGAACAAAAACATATGTATGTTTACACATAATTCCAAATTGCAGGTGCATCCGAAGAAGGGTAGACAGCAAGAGTATAGTGCACTATGAGTAGCTAAAAGAAAAAGAAACGTCCATTACTGTTTTTAACTTGATGTTTTGAATAAAGAAATTCAACTCACAAACGACCATCTTTAGCCATCAGAAAGAGTGTGATACTTCAACACGACAACGCTAGTTTGCATGTGACAAGAGATACGGCATAAAAAATTGCAGAGTTGGGTTGGAAAACATTACCTCACCCGGTGTGTACTCCTCAAATGGCACCGCCTGACTTTCATGTGTTCAGCAAAACTTTCTTGATGGAAATGAATATATAAATTATAAGGATGCCCAAATGGCAGAGGTAAAATATTTTGCCTCTAAAACGGAACACTTTTTTCCAGGGGAAGCTTCTTGTCAGGGAACTAATAACTTCCCAACAGTCGTGCAGTTTTGCGTGGGAAAGTACCCAAGACAGAACAATACCGACGCTAAGTTCTAGAGCAAGCCACCTTTTAAACCCCCCCTTTTTTGTTTTGCCGGCAGAGAATAGACCAGTGTAGTTCCCACGTCCCTCTCCGGCTTCAAAGTCCACCGTTTGAGGGGTGACTAGGACCAATGGCCGAATTATAATCCCGGCAACATCCAAAGATAAATATTTCTGCATTGTCTCTTTTGAAGGCATGTCATATTCCACCTTCAAAAAGACACACACGAAAAGGAGAAACACACACTCCAAGAAACACTTCTAGGCTCACCCAGTCTATCAGAGTGAGCCTCAAATTTGCTTCTAGATTTACTCTTGTACGCTCTCACCTTCAATGACATCTCAAGACATCGAGCATATTAATGCGTCTTACGCAGCCTTTCCGTCAGTGGTCCGGCTTGTAACATACTCCGACCACCACGACCCCACCAATACCGCCAATCGCAACTAAAGTGATGTTGGTATCCTTCATACAGAATTCTCAGTGATTAAAGTAGAATTTTCATTAACGATGAATTTCATTTCGAATTATATTCTGATGACTATCAAAGGCGTGTCAGAAAACGATTTTGAAAAATAAAGTGGATATTTTGGAAATCCTGACTTTCGCTAAAACAAAGGATCAATGCCTGGTCAGATAAATGTTTAATGATAGTCATAGGAAAAGAAAGTAAAATTATTTCTAATTTGTTAAATATTTGTATCTGTATCTCCAGAATAAAACACTCGTAGCCCCATCCAGTATGGGGGTTATGACACTCGGCTTGTAATCGAGTGGGTTTGGGTTCGAATCCCGAGTAAGGCATGGATGGATTTATCTTCGGGAAAAGAAATCGGACTTTCGCCTGAAATGGATTCCCGTCTCGAAAGGAAAGCAGATTACCTGTTCTGTTCTATGGTGGGATCATCGTTTATAATAAAGTCTATATTCTTAAGTGATTGTACAGTAGAACCTGTTTTTGTGTGGTCCTTTTCTATGCGATTTTATTTTTCTGTAGTATTATATGTTTCTGTTCATCTATCTCACGTCTTTCGTATGTACCTCAGTAATAAACACGCGACAACAACAACAATAAGACACTCATTTCTTCTTAAATTTTAATATCCCCCTCCGTTTACATATATTACATCTACAAATCTGACATCTAGACATCATTTGTGATGCATACCTTTTCTTTTTGACTAACTTGTATATATCATAGTCACTTGGTGTTGTATATATGATAGTGACTTGTATAGATAAGGCGTATATACACTGCTGGACAATTGCTAAGGACGGATTACACTATCCTCCATAGCAACCACAAAATGAAAGAAAGCAAAATGTGCAAAATTAGAATAAGTGCGGGATATTAGTAAGAAGTATGAGTATGCAAATTTTTTTTCCACGTTTGTTCATCACGTGATAGCGTTCATAAGAGCTTTAAAGGTTTTGACGTGTGTGGACAGTTGTTGTTTCAAGTCAAAGTTTTACAGGAAACATTTAATAGACGAACTTAAAATTTTTGGCATGTCTTCCCGACATCAAATAGATGATTTTATGCGTGGCCGAATTATTGGAAAGATAGAAGAAGGGCGAAAAATAACAGATGTTGCCAGGGAGTTCGACATCGCTCACAGCGTTGTTTCACGGCTGTGGAAGTCATTTAAAACTACTGGAATGTGTAGTAGACGGCACGGGGGAGGTCGTGTTAGAAGTACGACGCCTGAAGAAGACAGATATATCGTCCTATCAGCAAAAAGGAACAGGCGCACCACAGCTCAGCAGGTGGCAAATCAGTTTCTTGCTGCCTCAGGAAAGCAGATCTCCCGAAAAACTGTTGCCAGACGTTTGAGGGGAGGAGGACTATACGTACGCAGACCTGTTGTGTGTGTCCCATTGACCAGATAGCACCGTACTGCCCGTTTGCAATGGTGTCGTGAGCATCACAATTGGACTGAACAGGACTGGGCATGCGTACTATACTCAGATGAGAGTAGGTTCAGTCTGTCATCGAATTGTAGACGCCAACTGATCTGGCACGAGAGTGGTACTGCTTATCGTCCAGAAAATATCCAGGAAAAGGACCGATATCCGACATGCAGTATCATGGTGTGGGCCGGCATCATGATCAATGGCCGCACGCGCCTACATGTGGTTGCGAATGGGACTATGACGGGCCAACGATACATTGATGAAGTTCTACTTCCTCATGTTCGTCTTTTCCGTGGTGCTGTCGGTGATAAATTTGTTTTTATGGACGACAACGCAACATGTCATCGAACACTCGCTGTTCAGGATTGTCTAGACAGCGAGGGTATTCAACGTCTCGTATGTCCAGCGCGTTCTCCAGATCTAAACCCCATTGAAAATGTGTGGGATGCTTTGGGGAGGCAAATTGCTGGTCGAAACTATCCTCCGAGAAACAAGAACACCCTCATCCGTGTACTCACAGAGGAATGGGATAAATTGCCTCAACAGCTGCTGGATAATTTTGTGCAAAGTATGGTACGACGTGTGGAATGTTGCATCAGACTCCACGGTGGACATATCCCGTACTGATACCTTTCTTTAAGGTGCCTGCTGACTTTTCGATGCATTGTTCCATTTCTCCGTACGCAGATCAAATGAACATTTTTTTTCTTTCAGATGTTTCACAGCTTTTGTACTTTCCAGAACAATAAATATTCTTTATTCTAATGTCTGAACAGTGTGGCAACTATATTTTATCCTACTAGGCCTCATGTCTCGCTTAATGTTATGCTATATAGCAATTTGTGATCCGTCCTTAGCAACTGTCCAGCAGTGTATATAATATACACCTATAATAAGGTGTGTGTATATATAATATATATGTATAATATATACATATAATATAATATATATATACAATATATACATATAATATATACATATAATATAATATATATATATATACAATATATACATATAATATATACATATAATATAATATATATATATACAATATATACATATAATATATACTTATAATATAATATATATATATACAAGAAATAATAGATAATATACAAGAAATATAATATATGAACATAAAACAAAATTATAATATAATATATTTCGGACTTAGGACCGAATAATATAGGAAAACCAAATAAAATAAACAAATATACCAATCACTACTATTATGTAACAAACTCTCCCAAACTCTTAATGCAGAAAATCCCAAAATAATTATAAGAAAATATAAGTATCTTTCAAAAATAATATATACATATAGAGAAACAATATATACAATTATTAGTTAAAAAATTCGAAAAACATAAACACATATTTTGAGCTACTTTTAAACCAGCCAGCAAAGACAAGTATAGAATGACGACAATATGGTAAAATTTGAATTGGTTGATTGTCAAAAATGTAAATTTGCTAGGCTCTAATTTGGTTGGTTGTCAAAAAATAAGATGTTTAAGATATGTGGAAAAAATGTAAACTGTGATATGAGTATATGATATAATCTTCACAGCAAGACCATAACATGCTGACTTTGAAAATATTGTTGTGTGGTGGATTTGGAATTCGAAGTAGCAAGACGGTTAATGTATTTGTGATGAATATAAGAAGAAAATAAGATGAATATAAGATGAATATATCAAGAAATTAAAAGGGTATCATGATCTAAACAACATTATATATTATTGTATTTTATGTAAATAAAAAATTATGATATATGATATATGAAAATTACTGTTCCATACAGGAATTTAAGCTATATATAAACGAAAAAATGTTCAAGAAATAAGTTGAAGTTAGTTTTAAGGAGCTTGAGATAATCGTAATATTTGGTTTGTACACTATTTTTACCAAAAAATTATTATATCATCTAATAACGATAAATTATAAGAATCATTTATATGATCTATCAAAAAATGTAAATATAGGTTCGCTAAACAATTAAGCTGGACCACCCTGAGGTAATCCTTTGATCTGTTTATAAAGATTATGATCAAATATAATGAAATTTTCTTTTAAAATGAGGTTAACAAGAATATCAATTTTTTCTTTTTCATTGAAGTATATAATTCATATTTATCATAAATTAATGAAGAACCTTAATCATTCGTCAATATCTATAGAATTAAAAAGGTCCTCGAAATCAAAACCATGCATAGAAAAAATCAACATATCCTTAGTAACTCTAGCAATCTCTAAGCTATTTTTAATAATTGCCGTGTTTTTTGTAAATTATCAATTAGATTTTTGAAGAAGAGATTGCAAGATCTTCCCAGACTTCAATATAAAATCCATTAGTGATATACGGAATTTTATAGGGCTTTTATGAAATTTTGGTGTTAAAAATACTTGGATATTTAATATTATTTAGATGAATATTCATCAAAGCTAAAAGACGATTATCATCTTCTCTATTATTGTGAATTGATTTTTGAAATGAATTATTATTTAAAATGTGGTTACTTAATATTTTACTGTAAAAATATTTACAAATTATGGCTAGACTTTATCAACATATGTAATAACGAAGTCATTTTGGATATTTCTATTGATGATTTAAGATCTTTATACATAATTTCATTTTCAACAGTAAAATCTAAAATTTTGTTGCCACATAAGATCTAAATTGATTGAATGCTTCAATTGGCATTCCGTATTTAATTGCCATGTAAAATTTATCTAAATCTTTATGATTTGTTTCATAACATTAGATTTTCTAAAACCGGTACCCTTTTCCATTTTTTAACAAATCATCTTTGATGCTAAGGTCTCCTGTGACAACGTGCTGATGATAAATTTTTAATGATTCAGAACTTAGCTCCGAGATTTGATTATTTAAATATAAATCTACAAATATTTGAAAGCCTTTTTTAATAATAATATTTTTAATAGGAAAAAAGGATTGATATTTTTGAAATATACTTGAAAAATTAATTTTGTTGATTTATTCATAAATAATAATGAACAATATTCTGTAGAGTAATTTTCACTTGCATCTAATTTATATTCATTTTTTGTACTAAATAGTTATTAAGGTCTCGAAATCATATTTGTATATATGATAGTGACTTGTATAGTTGGCATTTTAAAAGCTATATATATGATTGTTCAAGAAATAAGTGACGTAAAGACGCAAAATAAATTTAGGATATATAACTGAAGCAAATGAAAAACAAATGTGAGAACAATTTTTTCTAGCTTTCAATGAAAATTATTCAAGAATAATCCTATAAATTTGTAATTCAGCCTTAGGGTGATGTTAATATTTAAAGATTAAATATTTTTTTAATCCTTTTGTAATGTTTCTTAAAGTCAGTAGCTTTAATAATTACATATTACTGATATATACAAGTTATAATATTGTTTTCTTATCTTTTTTAACTAAAAATAAATGCATCTTGAGCGTTTACATTGGAGAAATTTTTTAAGTACTTGATAGGTAGACACAAATAAATGAATAAATAATTGTTTGCTCTTAATTCAAAGACATTTTCTTTATATGTATCGAAACTCATATTTGTTTTATTATTTAAAAACAATAATATGATTGAGTCGATCATTTAATTAATATTTTGAAAAGCAAGTATTGGACAAATGTTTGATTAAACAAAAATGAGACAGTGAACAGAAATTTTTCATTTATAGCATCTGCTATTTTGATCTGAATTATTAATATAATTTCAATACTTATTCATTATATTTTGTGTACATAAATAAAAATATGAACTATAATTTTATATTAATAGAACAAACACGCACCACATTCTAACAAAATTAGTTTAATATTTAAAATAAAAAAATATTTATTCAATTCCCAGGATCTATAGTCGGAGATATCTGA